CACTGAATAACGTAAAATAGTACCAAAAAATGGGTGGCAAAGGTGTCAAATTTGTGATTTGACTTGTTGTGTAGTAAAATGATGGGATAGTAGAAAGTTTGCCGAATTAATTTTCCGAGCTTTCTATTAGGACGCGGTTTTCTACAAAATAAGTGAGACATAAATGCCGGTTTTGATGATTTTACTTAAAGAATACAAAAAATGCAGTTTAATTTGAAACTTTTGAAACTTGTACAAAAAACAATTAAACTTTTTTGGGCTCCGTTTGTAAGATATTGGGTTTGTAAGAGATTGTTTGATTAGAAGAGATGAAAAATGATTTTTCAAAAAAACTGAGAATAGCCGAAGATCCAAACCTGCACCTTCGCTCGTCTGGAAATGTCTGATAGTGACCGATCCATCTTTTTTCGCTCTTTAGAGGGCGGCGAAATGCGAATCATTCTTGCCAACCATAGCAAGTTGAAAGACCATTTCAAAGTTTTGATTGCATATCATGCAAATGGCACCGTGGAACTCCAGCAGCAGCAGAGCACAATTTTGCAGGAAATTATTAGAACTATTAACCATTAAGTATTTCCTTCCGTTATTTTTCAAACAATTATTTGTTGAACCTCTGGGATTTCTTTTAGAATTCCAGGTGTAGATAGCTTTGATCGGCGTCTCTGAGGGATGTTTTCAACGATCACCCGTTCACGACTGTTTGAATGTTTTTCCAGATTGATGCGCTGTCCCGGTTCAAAATTAAAATGTGTTAGTGCCACAGGCGTTTTCAAAAGCACTTTATAATTTGACATACAAAATTGCTGTGGTTTTAGAATAGTACCGAAGGTGTCAATTTTTCGATACGAAACTATTTTTCCTCGGAGAGGCGTTTTAGAAACATTTAAAATGAAGTTTTTTAATGTTGTGTATCTGATTAATGTCTGTTTGATAGCCGTCTTTGTTCAAAGTTCAGATCTCTCTTCAGAACGGTTCGAGTTCTGCTACTTATAACCAGACTTTGAAGTTGGCACCGCTGTCAGACAAATTGGATTGTGGAAACCAGGTTTCAAAAGCAATAATCTGGACATACAGTTGCATAAGATGCGAACTGTGTCGGTAAAGTCTGACCCATCAAAATTTGGTCTCCAAAACTTGTCGCGAATGTCTGAGCATAAAGTAGATAATGTCTCGACCTGAAACACGGACCTCTAGCTGTCTGATCTAGCTGTTTCCGCCTGTTGCGATAGTCGCCACTGATCTTTTTGGTCGCGAAAGTCTGGAGATGTCATCTTCTGATCGCGAAATTCTGGAATTACTAAAAAGTTGTCGCAATAATCTGGACTTATAAATGCTGACAACCTCAGCCCTAGAGCATTAGAAGAGAAACCATTCTGAATTAGAATTGGAAAAGTGTGAGCCGTCTGTGATCTGAGTTCTTATTATAATTTTTGAAAACGCCCGGAAATAGTTTTGAAACACTTTTCGAAAGCAGCTTTGGAAAAAAATGTGTTTTTCTTTCTTTCAATTGAGATTTATCCACGGGGGAAAGGACCAACACAAGAGCTGTACAGCTCAACACGGCGAACCGCTGTTGTGCCCCTGTTTAAGAACTACATGCAATTTTTTTGGTTATTTTTCTGGGCTGGGTAATGTTGCTTCACCCTCAAGCAACGAGCACGGATCATAGTGGGCCTCGAACATCCGACCTTTCGATTGAGAGGCGGAGACGTAACCACTTCACCACCGCTCCCCAATCGAGAAGCCTATAGCTTGTGTCAGGGGCGCCTTTAGAAGGATTGAACAACCTCACCATCCAAAGGCCTGGGTTGGCAGAAAATGCTACGATACAAATTCATACTACGAAAAAATGCTTGTCATTCATTTTCAAACAACTTTATAGACTACAAAATTTTTTATTAAATTAGCTTCAGATGCAATTTCGCCATGCTATGAAAGTTTATGACGAGCTTTTTTCCATACTCCAAAATTCAAATAATTAAACTGCTTATCAAAGTTCTTTTCACAAAAGGTATGAAAATGTCAATTATCCTGAAATATGAAATTGTAGGATATGCCTTTTTTCCATACTTGTAAATAGTATGACAAGAATTTTTCCATAGTATGAAATTGTACGACAAGCATTTGTTTCAATTTATAAAACTGGATGAAATGCAATTCATGAATCAATGAAACTGATTTGCTAACTTCTTGCCATTTTCAAAAACTAACAAGGAGGCTTGTAGATTTCAGAAAAAATCATAAAGCGTGCCATCTCGAATATCAAAAAAATATAATAGTTGGGAACCTCGACTGCAATTTACACTTATTCTCTTCAAGTTTGAGACAGCTGAAAACTCCTGTTCCTAAATGGATTATACCTAGAAAGGAGCTTCACTTAAAAATAAAAAAAACCTGAGATCAAGGTCGCTGCAAGACACGCTCCACGTGCAACCAGCAGTCACCACCTGTATGCGTTTCCAACCATATTCAGTCTCTGAATTCAGAAACTCTATATAAGACTCGTTCTCCTCTCCACCCAAAAAATCGCCCCTTTGATACTATTTTCCATAACTTTATTTTGGCCGACCGACACCAAAACTTTGCTTGAAGGGCCTTTGCCGCCAATATAAACTAATTTAGAGGAAAAACCGCGCCGAAAAGTGAAATTTTGGCTACATTTTTCCGAAGAGCTCAAAAAAATATCTGCGGCGTATAAACTTTCTCGAAAGAGGATTGTCAGTGTTTTGGCAGATTTCGGAAAAAAAATTTGGTCGACTTGAAAAAAGATCATCAAAATCTCCCGCTGGTTTTTCTTCAATACTCTTATATAAACGTTTACGAGGCCAAACTGTGCATTCTTTGAATTGTAAGCGGAATTGAAATTACCAATTTAAATTGAATTTTTTGCGATGGTCATCAGCAAGACTATCCAACAGTTCAATCTCAATTACTGCCAGCAGTTTAAAATCATCAGCTAAATCACAAATACTGAAGAATTAACACCTTTCTGATCTCAAATACTAAAAAAAATGAATTCTTTTCTGATCTCAAATACTAAAAAATTAACACCTTTCCGACTTTAAATACTGAAAGAATGATCAAATTTCCTATCTCAAATACTAAAAAATTGAACATTTATTTTCTTGGAACTACTAAAAAGTTGTCGCATTAATCTGGAATTATAAATGCTGACAACCTCAGCCCTAGAGCATTAGAAGAGAAGCCATTCTGAATTAGAATTGCAAAAGTGTGAGCTGTCTGTGATCTGAGTTTTTATTATAGTTTTTGAAAACGCCCGGAAATAATTTTGAAACATTTTGCGAAAGTAGCTTTGGATTCAAATGTGTTTTTCTTTCTTCAATCGAGAAACTTATAGCTAGTGTCAGCGGCGCTCTTAGAAGAATTGAACAATCTCACCATCCAAAGGCCCGGGTTGGCAGAAAATGCTAGGATACAATTTCATACTATGAAAAAATGCTTGTCATTCATTTTCAAACAATTTTATAGACTACAAAATTTTTTATTAAATTAGCTTCAGATGCATTTTTGCCATGCTATGAAAGTTAAGGACGAGTTTTTTTTTCCAAAAATAAGATAATTAAAACTGCTTATCAAAGTTCTTTTTCACAAAAATTATGAAAATGTCAATTATCCTGTTATATGAAATTGTAGGAAATGCCTTTTCCCATACTTGTGAATAGTATGACAAGAATTTTTCCATAGTATGAAATTGTACGACAAGCATTTGTTTCAATTTAAAAAACTGGATGAAATGCAATTCATGAATCAATGAAATTGATTTGCTAACTTCTTGCCATTTTCAAAAATTAAAAAGGAGGCTTGTAGATTTCAAAAAAAATCGTAACCGCGTGCCATCTCGAGTATCGAAAAAATATAATAGTTGGGAACCTCGACTGCGTTTTACACTTATTCTCTTCAAGTTTGAGACAGCTGAAAACTCCTGTTCCTTAATGGATTATACCTAGAAAGGAGCTTCACTTAAAAATTAAAAAAAAACTTGAGATTAAAGTCGCTGCAAGACGCGATCCACGTGCAACCAGCAGTCGTCACCACCTGTATGCGTTTCCAATCACATTCAGTCTCTGAATTCAGAAACTCTATAAAAGATTCGACCTCCTCTCCACCCCAAAAACTGCATCTTTGATACTGTTTTCCATAACTTTATTTTGGCCGACCGACACCAAAACTTTGCTTGAAGGGCCTTTGCCGCCAATATAAACTAATTTAGAGGACAAACCGCGCCGAAAAGTGAACTTTTAGCTAAATTTTTCCAAGGAGCTCAAAAAATTGTCTGCGGCGTATAAACTTCCTCGAAAGAGGATTGTCAGTGTTTTGGCAGATTTCGGAAAAAATTTTGGTCGACTTGAAAAAAGATCATCAAAATGTTCAAAACTGTTTTTGAAAAAGCTCACCCTTTGCGGGAAAATTCTATATCTCCCACTGGTTTTTCTTCGATACACTTAAAAAAAATTTTTCGAGGCTAAACTGTGCATTCTTTGAATTGTAAGCGGAGTTGAAATTACCAATCTAAATTGAATTTTTTGCGATGGTCATCAGCAAGACTGTCCAACAGTTCGATCTCAATTACTACCAGCAGTTTAAACTCATCAGCTAAATCACAAATACTGCAAGAATTAACACCTTTCTGATCTCAAATACTGAAAAAATGAAATCTTTTCCGATCTCAAATACTAAAAAAAGAACACCTTTCCGATCTTAAATACTGAAAGAATGATCAAATTTCCGGTCTCAAATACTAAAAAATTGAAGATTTTTTTGATCTCAAACAGTGAAAGAAAGAACAACTTTCTGATCTGATATACTGAAAAATAAAATTAAAAACAATGAAATCTATATTTCTTATATTACTTATTTACAATCAGATTTTGATTTTAAAATGCAAAGAGTTTAACTGTTGACTCAAACATAGACACTTTTTTCAGACTGTGATTTTGTTTTCTGTAAATTTTGTTATGCTGGTTGATATAAACATTCAATAAACATTTGGTATTCTGTATTCTGTGACAGTCTTGTCTTTAAACTGAGTTCAAACATTTTAACTTTTCATTTACTGACTTTCGCAAAGCTTCATTTGTAACGCACGATCAAAACAATGGCAGAAACTTCTGGTGATGAAAAACCACTTTGGTGGAAAAGACATCATGAACTGTACGACACGTCGGAACGACTTGATCCCGAATCCGTTTTCTACCAAAAGGACACTCGGTTATCTAAACCTCGGTCGGTACGACCTGTTCACCTTATCCCCTCGCGAGTTTACCCTAAAACAAGTCGAGCTCCACGATCTCGAGTGCCTCATTTAGACCCGGTAGCGGAATCGATTTACCAGCAGAAACGGTCGGAAAATGAACGCTTGAACAGAATGGATCAATACAAGCAAATTTTGACAAGACTGAAGTATAATGACGAGTTTGCGCAGAAATACACAGGAAAAAAATTCCATGATTACGAATTGATGCACCCTCGATTTTGGTTTCCCGCCAACCAGGTTTGGTTTTGAGGAAGTGTTTAGGGTGGTGTTAACTGGGTTCTTGGTTTGAATTTCCTCCCAGTCAGTGTCAAATATTTTTTCACGCAGAATTCACCAATTTAACACAATGAAATAGTGAGTGGAAGGGGCGGATTTCCGTGAGGGGGATGTTTTAGGAAAAAGATTGAGAATGCTTTAGGAAAAAGATTTAGGTCCGGCCGGAATTTCGTTTTTTGTTTGGAATTTCGTTTTTTGTTTTCTTTTGAGACGCTTTGGAAATACTTTTTAATTTCCTCATTAAAATTAGTTTTTCTATTTAGAAAAAAAATCCAATAAAGTGGTTACAATGGAAAGACCGCGCAGCTTTCTTTGTTCAAAACTATTCCTCTAGTCTCTTCTTACCTTACTCCTATTTCTACAGCTTTCCGAAAAAAATATGGTGAGACTTTTTGATTCATTTTACTGGATTTTTTTAATTTCTCAAAAAAGGCTCTGCAGATCTACACTTTTGGGTTCAATAGACAGAACGGGTTTTGAGAAGCTTCCATGCGTAATCGTCTATTTCCAAACTTTTCAAACAAAAAGTCCGGGCCCTAAGAAAAAACAAACGTGGTGGGTTCAATTTTGAAAAACTCCGTTGTATAAAACTACGCCAAAATTATTTTAAATAAAACAATCATCGCCCTTTGAAAAGTCAAACCTTTAATTTTTGCCATTTTTCTAGAAGTAGAAAATTTTAGACTTTTCCGATTGAGCCGCAACACACACATTTTTGCAACCAGTAATGGCCATCAGAAAAGTTAAAAATTTAATTTTTGGACCATTTTTCACAATTATTTTGTTCTTGAAGACTACCATTCCTAATTTGAAACTTCGCGTTCAATCGAAAAAATGGATTGTGCGAAGCTTCTCTGCTTAATTTTCTACTTCTACTATTTGATATGGCCCTAACCAAACACAAGAATCTATGGATCTCGGAAAAGTCTCTTTTTTTCTTCGTTTCCCTATTTTTGAATCTTTCTGATTTTTTTTTGAAATTTGCCCTCCTCAGTCTGAAATTTTGAGTTCAACAAAAAATATAGTTTTAAGGTTCTCTGCATAAGCAGCTAGGCTAGAAATGTTTATAAAAAAAACTATGACCCTGGGATGTCATTTTTTGATTTTGGACATTTTTGGGAATTTTATGCCTTCTCTTGATAAGTATCTTGCCAAATCGGATATCTGGTCCAAGGTTTTAATTTAACCAACAGATTTGATTGTAGGAAACCTTCCTGCTGAAGCACAAACTCCCGGTTTTTTTATAAAAAAAAAATATAGCCCTTGAACAGTCGTGGATTTGCAGCTTTGGCCTATTTTGGAAACTTGTTGACTTTTTTCGAAAATTACTCTGCTAATTTTTAGTCTAATATTCGGTCGAGAAACCCAATTGTCGGTTAGCATTCGGTCGAGAAATCCGAACTTTTTGTGCTTAAGCGATCACAACCTACGTTTTTAAGAGAAAAAATTATGGCTTTCGGAGAGTCAATTTTTGAACTTTTGACCGTTTTATACTAATTTTAAATTGTTCTTAAAAAGCAGGCTATCAAATCTGAGATAAATTTTTAATCCAAACAACCGGTTGCGGACCCAAATTTTACGCAGAAGCGGTGAATCTGTTTTTTCCTAACTATCACTCTTCTAAATTTTTTAATAGAGAAAACAACTAAGGTTTTGGGTATTGTCCAGGTCCAAAAATACCATTTGATCCAAAAAAGTGTCAAATAGTAACATTTAGTTTTACCTGGTCCCTTACTTTTTTACGGAAGGATGGATTTCAACTCTAGAGGATCTCACTTAGGTATAGACACAAGTTTTAAACATTTTCGGCTTTTTCCTGTTTGATGAAACCTCCTGTTTGATAATTCCTGTTTAATTAAATTCTTGTTTAAAAAAAACAAGTATCATGAAATTATTTGCGGTTTGGTTTTTTTATGTTTTTTTAGACGCTTTGCAAAATTTTTTCATAATTCTCAAAACTACATTTTTTCTCAAAAAATAATTATTCGATTTTCAAAAAGTGGTGCCAATGGCAAGACAGACCAGTCTGTTATATGAATTTAAGTTCCCTTTGACTCTTTTTGCCATAACCTATTTTCTACAACCTTTGAAAACTTTTTAAGACGAAGGGTTGATCCGTTTTTATACAAATATACCCTGCCAATTTTTCCAACTTTGTAATTAAAAAGAACAAATTATTATGGGAAGCTGCCTTGAATCAGCAGTTACGCTGAAAAATTCTCACACAAAAGTTTTTGCAATCAAAAATTCAAGTTTTTGATTTTTGAACGTTTTCTGTGTGCCTAAACTTTCCCGTAGTATATTTTTTCATAGTTTCCACAGCCTTTGAAAAAAAACATTTGAGAGGATTGTTTGACCCATATTTATAGATTTTTTCTTTTTTTTCTCAAAAACTACCGTACCAAATGTGAGATTTTGCTTTTAGTAAAAAAACGGGTTATGTGAAGTTTCCTGTATAAGAGGTCACGCCTAAGCTTTTTACACAAAAAGTTATGGCCCTCGGAAAAGTAAAGTTTTGATTCTTTGACCGTTTATTGGAACTTGGTTATTTTTCTCGAAAACAACCCTGCCGATTTTGAAATTTTGGGTTCGATCGAAATATCGAAAGAAATCACTCTGCATTAACGATAAGTTTTTTTTCACACAATTTGATATGGCTCTTCGGAAAAGTCAAAATTATGGTTTTTGTCGCTTTTCGAAATTTGTCGACCAATCTCGGAAACAACCATCTATAAAATGAAATATCGGGTTCAATCTAAAAGTTAGACGACTGTTGAGGTAGCCCCTGCATTTGCGGATTCTCCCTATTTTGGTTAGGGGAATATCCCATGGACTTGGAAAACGTTGGAGAATTTGAGCCTTTTGTAGGAATGTGTTCAATATCGCCCCAAAATACCAATTCTGAGATAAATAAAAATTTTTGATTGCTTTCGCCAAAGCGTTTTCTCCTTACTTCTGGTAAGAAACCAAATGGACTTGGGAAATACCCAATTTTTGAAACTTTGAAAAATAAGCATTACCTTTCGCATGAGTACGTATTCTTCAAAATTATCAAACATGTACCTCTAAAATTTAGCTAGTGTTAATTTGTTTATAACACTATGTTTATGTTACCAGAGACTAGTTACAAGCTGTGAAATATTATATTCATACTCAAGTTATAAATTACATCTAAAAAATTTCATGCTCGCAAACGAGAAAATTGTTTCTTTTCTAGTAAAGTCTAAGGTGTATAATTTGATCCTCTGAAATAAATCAGTGTTTAAGTATGATTTTTAGATCAAAGACGAAAAAGAGAAAGAGGCGGTGGCTCAATTTGATTCCAGTGTATTCAATTCATTCTGGGAGAACAAAACATTGTACATGCAGAGCATAGGTATGCAGTCAAAGTTTCCTTCTATAAGACGAAATATTAAGAGCAGGAAACGAAGATCGGGTTGAAAAAATGATGAATGATCGATCAATCAAACGCGTATGAGCTTTATCATAAAAACACATCTTTTTGCTTTCAATTAGATGAAACGAAATGAACCTAATTGTTCCGACTTTCGATACGAAAGTAATTGTTCCGACTTTCGATACAGAAGTAACGGAATATTTGTGCTCGGGGCATATTTCGCGATATTAACGTGTAAGACGAGATTTAATCCGTCTTGGAAATTGTTCCAAATTGGTTGAAAGAAGCCTACATGCCATAGTTAACTTGTTACAAGAAGCAAAATCTATCCTTTTATACTTTATATGGCGTGTGGGGGGATGATTTTTAAGAAAACATTCAAATTTAAAAAAAATTCATTTTATTTTACTAAATTTAATTTTTTTAAGGTTATTGTCCCGACTTTCGATACGAAAGTAACGGAATATTTGTGCTCGGGGTGGGTTTTTTTTCTTCAGACAATTTTCCACTTTTTAACTAGCCATTTTTGACCGAATTTTTTATGTCATTCAAAAGGTATTGTTGTCCAGAGCTTAAATTTGAAAAGATAATTTACCTGTGACCATTTTTCGTAAAGTTATGGGGGTTTAAAGATTGCCATTTTGGACAATTTCGGACAATTAACGCGCGATATATTTCGCGCTATTAACGGTTAAGCGGAGATTTAATCCGTAATAGAAATCGTTCCAAATTGGTTGAAGGAAGCTTATTTGCCATAATTGATTAGTTACAAGGAGCGAAATCTATCCTTTTGGTTTTTATATGGCGAGTGAGGCGATGATTTTAATGAAAAATTTCAAATTTTTGAAAACAAAAATCTTTTTTCATTACAATTAACTTTTGTTCCAAAAACCTTTAAAAGGCAATCGGAACATTAGGGCTTCGCCCGTATACGAGCAGTTTTGTTTTTGCTCCATAAACCTTAAAAGGCAGTCGGAACATTCTGGTCTTCGCCCTGATACAAGCAGTCTTGTTCATTTTTTGTTGTTCACTTTTATCTGTAACTAAGGTTTATGACTTATGCAGTGCTGTTTTAAACAAACCAGAGGAAACAAAAAAGTGGATATTTAATTGTGTTTTGTCAAATTGAGTTACTAATAGGCAAAAATGAAGATGACAAAATTCGCTTGAAATTTTAGCAGAGTTATTATGGCGCAAATATTTTAACTTGATCCTACCTTTTTATAGGATGTTAACTTGATTCTACCTTTTTATAGTTTTTGAGCTGCAATTTTTTGTTATAATTTTTAAGTGTAATCTGCTGACCAAATGACCTGGTACTTATGGCATTTAGTTACTGAAAAAAAACTAAGAAGATCATTTCTATTAAAGAAAATTGTTTCAAAAATAAATTGAACCATGTTTATTCAAATAAATACCTAAGCTAATGTGTCTTCATCATTTCTCGTTTTGTGTTAGCCCAATATGAGAAAAGCTATCTTAAGTATTCAATTTATTTAACGTTTTTTTTCCCGGATAAATTAAATCTGCACTGCAGTACAGACACTGTAAAAAATTTTAAGCTGAAAGTATTATTTTATAAATAAAGAATTAAACCGAGGTGTCGAATCTTTTACATCATTACAAAATGAGTCAAAGTTTTAAACATCAATCTGTAAAGACTGCGCCTTATGGTTTAAAGTTCACGAGTTGCCTGAGCTTTTTTTGGAATAGTAGGGGAAAAATATCCGAAAAACTCCTCCAAAGTTATGATTTACACTGATTCTCTGATAATTTTTATCAGGTTAGGATTAAGAAACTCTCCATAAATTCAAATTGCAGATCGTACCTTCACAAGAAACGTTCAAAATTTTGTCGACCTTTTCTTTTAGGTCGACCCAATTGATTTTCGAGCTCTCCCAAAGCATTAAGAAGACCTGTTTTGGTCAAATTTTCTGCGTCGCAGGCCAAATTTTGAAAAAGAATTTTTAGGCGCTTTTTGGAATATTTTGACCAAAAAATCGCACTTTTTGGCGCGCGCTCACCCCTAAAAAGCATATATTTCCACCTTTGTACACTTGTGATGTGTATTCTTATCATCACCTTACTGGTCGATATTAATATACTTTATAAACTATTTTCCTTACCCATCCAAGTAATAGTAAACAAAGGCAACCCTTTTGAATATTTTTTCATTTGCGAATAAATTAGCAAAACTTGCGAGTGTATTCACATTTTTTGTTGGTTGAAAATGCAAATAGAGAAAGTTTTGATGTGTACCCAAGGCGCCTTTAAAAAACTTTGGCGCCTTTGCTGGGTACGGAGGTAATGGGCTTTTTTGTTTTGAAAAATAGTAACAGTATTATTCCTTTTTTTGGATGAAAATCAATTTTTTTTGAAATTTATGGTGCCTGAAAATGAGAAACCATTATAATTTATTATTATCCAAGAAACCTCAGTGCGGGATTATATCCTTAATTCAAACTATATATTAAAAAAATCTTTGAATCTGGTTTTTTAGATCAGCCAAAACCGAAGCTGTGGACTCAAGACGAGTTACTGACAGTAAAATTTGCCCGAGAAGCGAAAAGCATGAATAAAAAAATGAGCAAAGTATACGACAAACAAAAATTTGAACTATTTGAACGTGAAAAAGAAATTGATGAAAACAAACGAAAAATTTGTGAACTGGAGAAAAAAATATCCAATTTTGAATTCCAGTCTGCAAATTTCGAAAAAGCTTTTGTAGAAGCAAACTCGGAAGTCATTCAAAAACTGGACCAAGTTAAAAGCGAACAAAAAGCAGTGAATTCGAAACTGCTTCTTGGTTTGCCGAAAGAACGAGATCGGTCGCTTTCGCTGTTGTCGCCGATTCCATTGCCAAATGTGGCAGAGCCGAGTATTCATCTCGCCACCGACCCTGTTTGGGAGAGAACGCGACTTGTCTTGGAAAACGAGAAAGACAAAGAACGAAGCGAGAGACTTCAAATGGCTTATTCGAACACTTTCAGATAAAAAATAAATTAGATTTATTGTTAAATACTGCAGTTTTTGTTTGTTTGAATTAAATTCAAAAACCAGTTTGACAATACCTTTTACAGCTATTTAAAATGCACATTTAATTGTTGATATCAAGTCGAATTGCTGATGATGAGAATTTTGTAGACCTCATAGTGAAATATTTAATTATCATCATAAGAACTTATGATATATAAAATTGTTTTATTATGAGATATAAATTTTAAAAGTGGATCCGCACGTGATATTTATGTTCTACAGGAAAAAAAAAACAACAAGGGAAATTTGAAGCAGATCTAGGTCAAGTTCGAAATGTCGAAAGTTTGGCAACATCTTTTTTGAGTCAAGGAAAATTTTAAGTCTTGGAATCATTTTAGCTTCCGGAATAAATTTGCATTCCTTTAAAAAAATGTTGAAGAAAAATATTCATATCGATTTCATAGATGAGTTCGGGTAGCTGACTTTTATCAGAAAATTAACACATTAGCAGCACTTCAGCTCATTAACATAAGTTTTAGTTTGGCGTCTAATTTATCAAGTTATCATCGCTGAAAAGTTCGAAAAGTGATGAACGTAATGAATTTCATTGCTTTTTGTCAACTCCACATTTTTTTTTACAGTCAGGTTATCCCCCCTGCTGTTATTCATTTTGGAAAATGGTGCAGCTGACAGCGAACGACTCATCTCATTGGCTGATTCGTCGCATTCCGATCTGTCTTCTCGGCCTCTCGATTGTGACGTCACTCCTTCAGATCGCTTTCGGTTTTTCAGTTTCAACTTTGGCTGTGTTCCTGTGGACGCTTTTCGTGCCAGATGTTTTTGAACAGCTGCGTTTACTTCATCTTTGGAAAGTCCACTGCCGTAAATTTCCCACGTGAAGCCTGATTTATCGCGCTAAATAGAAAAAAAACAAAAATAAAATGTCTTCAGTGCTGAGGGCTTGAAAGCCAGAAAACTAACTTTGACCGAAAACCTACAGGATTTTCTAACATGATTCAATTTTAGTATTCATCTCGATACAATTCAAACTTGAGAAATAAGAGCACAAAAAAGTTGAAACTTTGTGAGAAGCTACATTTTGTTTTACTGCAACACTTACTGGTGATGGCGAGTCCATCAGCAAAAATCGTCAACCGCTGGTAGCGGTTGTTTTTGTTGTGAGGAGAACAATATGTTTTATTAGGCCGAAGTGGCTTCATTCCTTGGTTCGCGCTAATTGCAGATACTATTGTTTCTGTTACTCCATTTAGTTCGACCTGTGATTACAGCCCTTTTTAAAGCTATGTTCCCTCAAGAATTCCTCTTTTGAAACCCAATTGAGTTCAAGATTAAAATGTAAGATTTAAAATGCCGGGGCAAATAATGTAAAAGATACACACATGTTTTAAAAATAACGAAAAACTTACAACTCGGTTATACACTGAAACACCGCCTATAACTTTTGTTAAACAAAAAAAAGAACCTTAATTCTGAGATAACATAGACAAGTAATATGGATTCGATACAACACAAACTGCTGTCTGTGATCTTTAGATAATCAAGGACGAATGAACTTTAAGGCATGGATTTTAATGCATAGCGATTGGCGGTTATTTTGTCTTGACATTTAATGGCTACTAGAAAGGCAGTAAGGACTATGGGTATTTCAAAGATTTGAGCCGCTAAAGCAGGGGAGCTTCTTGTTTCTTCTATTGAAATCAAAATTTCTCATTTGGGAGGCTATTTTTGAGAGAAGTCAAAAAGTTTGAAAAAAAGACGGTCTAAAACTAAAATTTTGACTTTTTCGGGATGATATTTTTTAGTAAAAAAACTTGGCTTAGTCGCTATTGCAGGGGAGCTTCTCAAAACAATTTCTCTCCAAGGAACCTAAAGTCTCTAGAACCTAAATGAACCTAAAGTCTTTTGCGAGGGTCACTCTTTTCGTTTAACAAAAAAATCGGGCTCAGCCGCTGACGCAGCGGAGCTTCCCAGAATTATGAGTGTGAACGGATGCCAACAAGTGGAGTGCAGTTATGTTGTGTACAATGACAAATAGGCGGATGGGACGGCCCAAAAGTGATGAAAGAGCTTATTCAGATACCAAACAGTTTGGTTTGATGTATATCAGAGAACTCATAAATGCTGATGCCAAAAATTTTAGCTAGATTCGTTGACTGAGTTTTAACAACTTATCAAACATTAGCATCAGGTTACAGGGCTGAAATCCGTGATCAGCAAGCAATGACTGCGTTTTGTAAAAGAGGTGAAAAAAAACTGACTAATCAAAAAAAGACAGAAGGTTACAAAAACTGCAAATTTTAAAATCTCAGTTATCAATTCATTTGTTCGCCGATGAAAAGGTTATATTAGGAAACAATGCATGAAGGGCGGCTCAAGTTTGAGCCAAAACTTTGAAAAAGAAGACAGAAAATTTCATCTTACAGTTACCGTAGTTTTCATCGTACATTTAATAGTGGATAAACTAGCTATCGGTTGCCCTTTGAAATTTAAAAAGCATGTTCAGCATGTAGAGAAAAAACTGGCAAAATTGTAGCCGTTCTGTAGACATTCAGATTAAAACAAAAAGATTAAAAAGCTTTCGATTTCTGAAAAGTCTAGGTTTGGCCTGTACTTAAAACAAATTTACCATGCACTAAAATCAACAGACCGTGTTTCAGTCCCGGGAGAAGACCAGCAGGAAGATCTCAAAAACATTAGATCGATTGTTTGAAACGGGACATGAATACTTTAAGCCTCAAACCCATAGACTGTCTTGATCGAACGGCATGGAAAAACGTATTATCTTCCATTAAATAGCTTAAATGCTATTAAAAAAGTTCTCATCTACACCCTGGAATTTGTCAAGCTAACCAGATATAGCAATGATTACGCACTTTCCGAATAACCAAACCCGCCACAATCGTAAACCGGACAAAAATTGCATTAGTAGTAGTAGAAGAAATTTAAAAACTATCGATGGAGAGTCTGCTTGAATCTAAGTAAATCTGACAGTAAGGACGAAATACGCTGTGAGCGGTAACTGCTGACCGTTTAAAAAAAGCATCCAAAGAAGCTGATTAGAATACTAGCAGAAAAAACCAGTTATGTCAGATAAAGATGAATGGAAGTCAAGAAATTATAATACGAAACTCATTGAAAGGAGAAAACACAATTATGTCTTTTGAAAAAGATAAATAAAAAACTCAATGATAAGGTGCAAAAGAGATAAAAAAGTTTCTTAAAAATCCCTAGGTTATTATCTTGTTCAATAAAACACTTATTTTGGCAAACCCATGATCTCTAATTTTTTCAATTTTTACGGTTTATTCGAAGGTGTAATTCGAAGTTACTTCCAAACAAAATCAGGAAAGCCAAATAATTGTCGGGAGGATCGTGTGATATTTCATAATGAAGCCATTTCAGTCCTAATTCAAATAAAATTTAAGAAGATTCCCAAGGTCGAGAAAAGCTGGTTAAAAAATTTTGAATTTTAGTCTATTTTCAAGAGAGTGTATTTTCGAGCGAATACATAGGATTCATAAAAAAACTTTCGAAGTAAATTAAAACTATCAAGCGCGTCTCCATTAATAGATCGTTTCAAAAAAAATTGTCCCATACCTTGTTTAGATTGGCAAAACTTAGGTTTTTCAAAGCAGGCTATTCAAACGATGAAACTTTTGAAATTTCTAAGTTACTTCAATAATTAAACGGGTTCGCAAAGTCTGAGTTTTTGAAAGTTTCTGGTATTTCATGCCCTAAACCTATTAGCAAGAAACTAATTTTTAGGGGCAAGTCATTCAAGCAATGCAAACTCAAAAATTCCAAAGTTCACAAAGAATTTTAGAAAATTTTGAAATTTTTTCAAACCGTGTATCGATTGGAAAAATTTAAGTTTTTTAAACAATCCATTGAAACCATGAAACCATGAAAATTTCAGGTTAATTCATCTATTAAATCGATTCACAAAACATTTTTTTCCTGACAAAGTCATTTCAGCGATGAAAATTTGAAAAATTTAATGTTGTTTCACACCTTAAATCCATTCGCAAAAAAAATTTCTGAGAAAATTGTTCAACCAATGAAGCCCTGAATCTAGCTTTTCAAACCACTCAACTTTTAAACCCTTGCCGTTGAATTGTAAATGCGCAAAAATTTGTCTATGCTAGTTTTTTGAGCAATGAAACTTTGAAATAGCTCAAATTTTTTTTAGAGAAACCGAACTGTTTCGCGGAACTATAAGTTTTGTTTGAAAACCAATTCATCGAAATTATTTCTTCGAGCGAATCAGTTCAACAAAAGTTTTACTTTCTTTAAATCGAAGCATGTGATGAAACGTTGAGTTATTTCAAGATGCTTCATAAATCGAATCGTTTCGCGAAAAATTAGTTTTTCCTTAGCAAGAATTTTGAGCAATGAAAGTTAAAAATTTCAAGTTTTTCAGAGAGCAAATCAATTCGCGACAAAATTCAGCTTTTCTCGGCAAGCTACTCAAGCGGCGAGCCAATGAGTGCGCAAAAATACAAGTTTCTCCATGCAAGTTATTCAACTGACGAAATTTTTTTTTATTCTTCAAGTTGATTCACAAGGCGAATTGACTCGCAAAAAGCTTAAATTTTTCCTTTCAAGCTTCTCGAGCGATGATACCTTCAATTATTACAATTAATTTCATAGACTTAATTGGGTTCGTAGTAAAATTAGGGTTTTCCAAGCGATGAAAATATAAAATAATTCAAGTTGTTTCATTTATCACATTGGTCCGCAAAAAATTTAGGTTTTTCTATTCTCAAGCTTTTGAGCAATGATAACTGGAATTATTTCAACATATTACACAGACCGAATCAGTTCGCAAAATATTCATGTTTTTCCAATATAAGCTTTTGAGCGAGGAAAATTTGACATACTTCAAGTTATTTCACAGACTAATTTGAAATTTTTTCTATTCAAAATACTTGAGCTATGAAACTTTGAAAAATTTCAAGTTGTTACAGAGAACAAATGGGTTCTCGAAAAGTATAGATTTTTCATAAGTGAGCTATTCAAGTGATGAAACATTGAAAAACTTCAAGTCTTTTTGGAGACTGAATTGTTTCGCGGAAACTTAAATTTTGCTTGCAAGCTAATCGAGCGATGAAAGGTTGAGCTATCTCAAATTAGTTTATAAATCTTATCGTTTCGCAAAAACTTAGTTTTTACTAAGCGAGATTTTTTATAGAGCAAATCAGTTCGCGACAAACTTAAACTTTTCCTAGCAAGCTATTCAAGCGACGAAAGTTTAAATTATGGCAAGCCAATACACAAAGCCGCCTAGTGCGTAAAAAATTAGATCTATGCAAGCTATTCAAGTGATGAAAATTTGAAATACTTTAAGTTGATTCTTGAAGCGATTTCGTGAAACCAATTCTTTTCAGGCTTTTTAAGAAATGAAACTTCAAAAAATTTCAACATATTTCACAGACTAATTGGTTTACAGAGTATTTATGTTCTTTCAAAGCAAACTTTTGAGCGATCAAATTTTGAAATCGATTCGAGAAAAGAAAAAGTTTTTCATCAGCAAGCTATTCAAGTGATGAAACATGTAAAGTTATCAAGTTATTTCAGAAAACGAGTTTGTTCGCAATAAATTTAGATCTTTCTTTGCAAGCTGAGAAAACTTTGAGTTATTTCAATTTAATTCAGAGAACAAATCGGTTTGCAAAAAGTTCAAGCGATCAAAATTTGAAATACTTACAGTTGATTTGTAGAGCGAGTAATTCGCAAAAACTTGAAGTTTTTCTATGCAGATTTCTTGAGCAATGAAACTTCGAAATATTTCAAGTTATTGCAGAAAGCGAATTGGTTCGCAAAAATCAAACTTTTCTATGCAAGCGTGTTTTGGGCAAGGAAATTTTTCAAATTGTTCATAGACCGAATTGTTTCGCAAAAAAATAAAATTTGTTTGCAAGCTTGTCGAGAGATGAAACTCAAGAAGTTTCAATTTATTTCATTGCGCGAATTGGTTTGCAAAAAGTTAATTTCTGTAAGCATGGTTGTTGCTGTCCTTAGTTAAATCGTTTGACACTAAAATGAATCTTTAAAAATTTGGACAAAAGTACTGTCTAGCCTTGAAGTTGAATTGAGTTCATCTTGTCTGAAGATTTTTTTTTAAAACAATTCTAGAATTTTTTAGACTTTAGAATGTTTCAAAGCGCGCAGTTAAACATTGTGTCCATAGCGCATTTGACTTTCATTTAATATATAAGATGAAATGGCGGTTAGTTATGAATAAGGATAAAGACTAAATTTAACACTTGAATGACTAAATGTTAGTAACCATATTGACCGACGAACAGAAAATTTTTATAGAAACCAAGAGTTTTTTTGACAACCATTGTGTTTGAATTTTTAGCGTTAATGATCAGTTATTAAGCGAGTAAGTTTTCTTTCTTCAGTTGAACTTGCGGTGACTCATGCATTACGAAGATGGGGCATACAAGCTGCTTGGGAGACTGCTTGGGAGAAGAGGTATCGGCTGAAGGGAACGGAACAGTTTTGGGGGTCGATGGACTTCTGCTAGGTTTCAGCTTTCTCCACTTTTGTGAGAGAAGCTCTGATGAAGGACTACCGAGGACCCGCGTCTGTTTCCTCGTACGTTCAGACGATCTCGGCGCCGAACCCGAAGAGACAACTTTTAACGGAGGTCCTCCTCATCACGCTGAGACTGAGTGGGCGCCGGCTCCTTTGTGTCGACTGTCCCTCCGGATGCCTTTGGTGAAGACGGTTGGATCGGCGCGATAGCAACTTTCAGTGGTAGTTTCTGGTTTGACCTTAGATGAAAGGGCCCTGGAAGTTGGCTGGTTGTCGGCGGATTAGCGATGGTGAGACAGATTTTGCCTTGATCTATTGGCCTTGAACTGCGCCTGAACTTTCGGAGTCCAGAATGACGAACTCCGGAGACATAGTGGTGATTACACTTAGCTCGAGTAGAAGTTACTGCCACTGTTGATAAGCACACGGCAATCTGAGTTATTTACTGTCTGCGCGCTTTCTCGTGCCTGTCGATAACGCCGAATGTCTTCCGGCACGACTAGAATATTGTCGCAAAGTCGAAGTTGCAAAGACTGCTGATCAGGTCTTCAAGTGATAGCTGACTAAAAGCAATCGTGAGGTCCTATCAGATAAGCCACACTTATCCCGTGCTCGCGGAGGTGATGATTTTAGCGGCGGAGTCGAGGCATTCGAAAAAATTTGGTATCTGCTACTTCATCTTGTAGACTTGGTAGTGCATTCGAATGGTAATTTCACTGTACAATCTTTCTTTGTTGTTATCATCACAGGAGCCACGAAATAGTTTTTTGTGAAATTGTCGAGTTTCACGACGTCGTTCTCGTTTTTCAAATTTTTGATCTTCTCCCCCATATTTCTCTGATTGTGTATTGAGTCCCTCCGTCACTTTTTCTATATTGGTACCAATAAAGATTTGAGGTTGCAAATGTAGTGAGATTTACAGTAAAGGCAATATATTTTACTTTGTTGTTGTTACCATTAAAACCATGTTGGCTTCAAAAAACCAAAAATCAACTTCAGCTCATTCAATTTTACTTAAATTTTTTAATTTCAACTAATTTGTGAAAAATATATTCTTTTTATAGAAAAAAACTCATCGTACATTTCTTATAAATGGAAACTGATTCAAAAATAATTTTCCAGTCAAAAAGTGACCTTTAATTGGTTGATGATGACTATGAACCATTAGGGTGATCAATCAGACATATATCTGGTTCTAAACGTGTTTAAATAGTTTTTAACACTTCAGGAAAAATCTTGATCAGCAATGATATATGTACATAACTAAACAGAGTGGTAAGTTTTATTTGTATAGAAGTCAATCCGGTTGACAAGATCCGACAGATCCTAAGAGAACCCATGGTTTCAGTTTCAAGAACCTCACAGTTAAACTGCATTGGGAGATTCGACATGGAAAATTTTTGCTGATTTCATACCAGGCCATTAAAAAGGAATGTAACGTTTTTAATGGCTAGAAATTCCCTACTCTAAAAAGCAAAACGCCATACATTAAATGTTGTTTGAAATTTGAGGAATAATTTTTGACAAAATCAATTTTATCCATATAAAAAAAATAGAACATGTGGATTTATGCTGAGCACTGTTGATGTCTTTTGTTGTATTTTTTGCTATAATTTTGAATCTGAACTTCTTTGTAGAGAAAATTTACAAAAACATTATGCTTTTTGTTGAAAACTTTTTAAAAAATGCTCATCTTCAATTTCACAGAATTTATAAGGAAAAAAATACACTTGACAACCAACGCGTCAAACCCCTAAAAAAACATAAAATACGTCTTAAAAGATTTGTTTTTTTTTCTGTGAATACAAACTAATTGAAAATTTTCACAGGTAGTTGTATGGTAGGCTTTTTCCAGTTATTGGAAGTTTCCTTTGATGAGGACGCAATTTTCGTTCTGAAACTTTAAATATTTTTCAGAAAATGTATGAATAATGAATAAAAACGATTTTCCATAGACTCTAAATATGCTAGCGAAAGAATAACATTTTTGTAAGAAAGTGGAACCTAGATAGTAGCGTCAAATAAAGAGTTTATTAGAAGAAAAGAAAGGCGCAATTAAAACGCGAATGACTTTTGAGCCAAAAAATATTGTTACTTACCAAGATTTTGTTGTGTTTTATAAATAAAAACTAAAAAATTTCAGCCAGGTCTCAATCTGTTAAAAAGGAAACTTTACTAGAATCAAGTTAGGAAAAAAAGACATTTGTTTTCTTATGAAACTGTTTGAAATCGAAAAAAAATTTGATTATCGTTTTTTTTTTAATAAGTTATATATCGAAAGTCAAATAAGAACCATCTGTTTAAAACTCGGAAAGTTTTTTTTTGGGATCCAATTAGAAATTTTGTTTTGTTGTGTAGTATATTCTCAAAAAAATGCATAGAACAAAAGTATTGCGCAATTTTTTTTCTATAAAGTTTGTTTGAGCATTTGAATCAGCAGTTTACAAAGCGCAGAAAATAGTTCGCGCTATTAACGAGTAAGCGAGATTTAATCCATCTTAGAAATCGTTTCAAATTGGTTGAAAGAAGCTTATTTGTCATAATTGATTGGTTACAACGAGCTAAATTTATCACTTTGTACTTAATATGGCGTGTGGGGGATGTTTTCACAAAAAAAAGAACTCAATTTTTTTTTAATTTTAATTATATTTTATTACATTTAATTTTTTGATGTTATTGCTGCTCCAAAGAACTTAAAAGGCATTCGGAACATTAATGGCTTCACCCTGATACGAGCAGCCTTGTTTAATTTGGATTGAATTTATGATTGGTTTGATCCTCCGCTTCTGCGCTTATAGCACGAAATTCAGTGAGCGTTAACATTCCCAAATCGACCAATATGCAATTTTAGGCAACGCCTATAATTTTACAAAAAATGATCAAAGGTGAAATGATTTGTGAAAGTTTGAGGCCAGAGCAACAATTCTATTCTGATTACAATAAAAGGATAGCTAGTAAAAAGTCGAAACAGGTCTGGAGAAAAAACCACTCGAGTACAAACATTTCGTCAGTTTCCTCGAAAGTCGGAAAAGCAAACTGGTTGTGTGGAAATCAAAGCTTCTGAAAACGAAAAAACTTCTGCTCGAGGGCTGAAGACTTTTAATACAAAGCTTGAGATAACCGTAACTGATAATTATTGTCTGGGAGACAATCAACAAAATTAGGTTAGAGGTTCTAATGAAGCGGCTCATCATTTTTCAGCGATCGATACATTTTCTAAAAAGCTCCATTTTTTCTGCCGCTATCGAAGAGTTTTAAGGTTGCAAACAATCGCATGGGTTCAATTTTGATATAACGTTTTAGTCTTTTCAGTTGTGACTTGAAGATCACTCAAAATATTATCTCTTTCTCAAAAAATAGTCCATTTTCAGGCTGATTGAAAATTGTTTTCTGCAGCAATAAATAAAAGAACAGAGAAATGCCAATGATTGAAGTACGAGAATATATGAACAGAAATATTCAGGCTTTTTTTCATTTCTTTCTTATTGCTGAATTCTAACTCTTTCTTCATGCCCGAAAACAATGAAAACCTTTTAAAAAAATATCACTAATTTTAAAAAAGTACTATTTTCGAATTGATTGCTTTGGTCGTAAAGTTCTGTGCTGCTTGCATTACAACTGGCTTCTGTTTATTTTTGCTGTATTTTTAACCACTCATCATTTTAAATATGAAAATATGGGGTTCAAAAATAAAGTCAGTGCGAAAAACTTACGGAAACATCCGGGCAGGTTTGCTGCCTGGCCAACATTCTGCGTTTTGTGTCATCAGCCTGGCTCTTTGCGGGCTTCGAACCTGTGGCCTCTCGATCAAATTGACAGTTTTCCAGTTGGTTTCCACTGCATGCACTTTTACTCAGTTTTTCTATTCCACACAGAGAAAAGGAGGCTTTCTGCTCTGGAGTTCCAGGGTCCAACTTTTCATTGAAATCTGACTCGCTGATTCCTGTTTGTTCCTGCTGAGGCTCCTTATGTTTCACACAACTCATAAACGCCATCGGTAATTTTCAGAAATGAAATTTAATTCAGCAGTCTCTCCAAGCGTGCTCAAAGTTAATTATTTAAGCACTTGCGTCCAAATTTTAACCTTTTTGCTTTTATTAAGGAAAACAGAAATGCCGTCTAAATGTGTAACTCCACTCGATTAAAATAACAGTGAACAGAAAGCAAGTGAAATCTAATCAGAGGAATGATGTTTGATTTCAGGCATTTTCAGCAGTAAAACTTAGTTAAAAAAGAAATTTTACTGGAAAAAGAAGGTAAAGAAATTCTTTCAAGTTTTTTTTCTTGAAGGGAATCGCAGAAAACGATGTGAATTTTTTCTGCAGATAGCCGTTGTTATTTTTTTTGCCAATTCCGATTCCTGCCACTATTTCTGGGGCATCAAAGGAACTAATTTATGAACTTCAAAAAGTAACCTAATTAAAGTGACAATTTTTTTTCGGATTGCGTTTTTTAGACTTCTTCCTGTTTGATAATCTATATGGATTTTATCTGAAGTGCATGCATCAAAACTATAGGACAAAAATGAAATAAAAGCTATCAAAATCACTTCTGAGAGCAGGTTTTTATTTCAGCATTTTACTTGAAATCAAAGACAATGAGAATAAATGTTCAAGTAAGGATTAGAAAATAACGCCCAACAACCACCCGAAATCTCATCAAGTTAGCTGCAGATTTATTTAGTTCGGGTTTCTAAGAAAATTCAACAATTGAGTTCATGTTAGGCAAGAAAAGCTTTCAGATACAGAATTACCCTTTGTATTTCAGCCCCCTTTTTTTCAAGCTGACGCACCAAAAACAAACTTTTGTGATTGGTTGGGCCCACGCTTTGTTAACAAAAAAAAGACAAGATATAACTTGCGCGATTGGGG